TAATTAACAAGTAAAGAAAATAGTAATGAGTACATTAGCTGTACTAATATATTTATATATTCAAACATTTTTAATTCGAATTCTCATTAGTAATCACGAGCCAGGAGGCTGCATAGCCTGTGGAAAACAAGATTGCAAAGTCAATCTCAAATTCATCAGAGTTGCCTATCACAGTACTCCCTCCGTTTTCATGAAATGTAAGAGAATTGAATGAAGGAATATCAAACATAAATATTATACCGAAAAAACAGAGTGGGATTAGGGTTTTACCAAATTCGAATACAGCAAAATCTATCTAACCACTTACATGAGATTAGACTACTAGAGTCTTATCTAAGGTATACATAGTAGATACACTAACAAGAGAAAGAGGAAAAATGGACATTGAGAGAGAGTTGTTTACTTTGGAGTGATTTTTTCCTTCAACCACTTACCCCTGTTTAAGCCTCTGTCGAAGAGGAAAACCCAATCATTATTAATTCACCTCATAATGAAGGAAATGATTTGATGGGAATAATCACATTAATTGTGAAGGAATCATTTCTTGTTTTGGAATTCAATTAGAAATCAATCTATTATTAATCCTCAATTCTAGTCAACTCTCATAATTCTGGAATATGTCAGATTTATTGATTGCTCCTAACATAATGACCCGATTCCTATAAAGGATAGATCGGTAAATTCAAACATTAATGCTACTACCATGCATTTGTGCCTTTGTTTTTATTTATAAGTAAAACGACAAATTTCAAAAAACATTTGTCACTTTTTTTTAAAATTGTTTCTCATAAAGTCAATATTTATTTTCAATAGACAAATTTGTTTCATTAATTACAAGATACTTTAGTCTAACTTTTTTTTAATTCGGATATAATTATTATAATTAATCACCTTTTTAAAACTGTGTGAAGTTATACTTTTGATCTGAATCAGTGCACTGGAGGTTGCGAGGAAAAAATAAAATAAAATAATGGATGAGCTGTGATTTGAAATACATTAATCATATGCCCATTGCATGGAATTATTAGTTTCCATGTGACATTGCAATATTCACCAATAGTCCACAGATTAGAACCCAAGAAGAACTATAAAGTCACCTATTCCTTCATTTCCACAATCAGTATCCACATTAAAACACAAACCCAACTTGAAATCAGAAAGCATACATAGCAATGAAAACCGCAATCTTAGCATTTGTGCTCCTCTATGCCCTGAGCTTAAGCATTTTCGTAGTAGCTCATGATGATGATGATGATGGTGCTCGTTCTGGGCAAGTGGTTGACACATCTGGAAAGATTCTCCGAGCTGGTTCCAAGTACTACATTCTTCCTACTACTCCCATTATGAAATGTGCTCCGGCGCCTCACGGCCGATGCTGGAGTCACGACGCTGGGTTTTCACTCGCCGGCATCGACCAACATTGCCCACTTGACGTGGTCGTGGTTGGCCAATATCGTGCCTTGCCTGTCAAGTTTACACCGGTTGACCCTAAGAAAGGCGTGATTCGTGTCTCTACTGATCTAAACATTCAGTTTTCTGGCTATAAGAAGTGTCCTCAGTCCACAGTGTGGAAGCTTGATCACTTTGATTATTCATCAAAGCAATGGTTCGTGACAACTGGTGGCATCGTGGGGAACCCAGGAGGGAAAACTATCAACAATTGGTTCAAGATTGAAAAGTATGGAGGCGATTATAAGCTTGTTTATTGCCCAAGTGTGTGCAAATATTGCAAGCATTTGTGCAAAATGTTGGAGTGTTTGTGGATGAGAAAGGCAACAGCCGTGTCGCACTCACCGATGCTCCTTACAAAGTTAAGTTCCAGAAGGCATGATCATGACCAAGTGCATGCTTCATGCATCCTGTTAATGAATAAGTGTAGTGTATAAATTACAAACTTAATTAGTTAACAATAAAACTACACAGATGTTTTCCTTTATAAAGGAAATCATTATATGAATTATCCTCTTGTGCTTTCATTTCAACTCGCATATATTGTTTTCTCTTCGTAATTTGAAAAATAAATGTGGACATTGCAAATTTACTTAGCGTGAACAACCACCAATTCATACGATCATTTTAGTTTCGATGCATAAGATTAGACCATGACTTTGGTAGGGTGTAAGTTAAAATAAATTTCAATAATGTTAAATGAATTATTTGCTTTTAGAAATATAGTTTTGTGTTGGAACACACTGGGCACAAAAGTTAAATGTGCAGAGAAGCTAGCTAACTAATGCGCTCATGACAAAAACCCAATCAAAATTAATCTCGCATGACTGCACACATCTAGCTCGGTATTTATTATTGATCAAATCTTTTTGATCATATTGATGGAAAGATGTTTGTAGCAACTTTGTCATCAGAAGTTAGCAACGATATTAAGAGAAAGGTAAAAGTAGAGAATCATCAATTATATTTTGAATGGCTAGCTGTGGATGACAAGAGAGAACAGAAAGGAGGAAGAAGAAAAAGATGAAGACGATAATGTTGCCACATGCTAGTTCCACGCAGCATTCTTAACTTGCCACATAGGAGTGTGTTTGTTCTCAAATTTAAGTTTAATTTTAATGGTGGTACATTAGTTTGAGGTAATGTTGGGGCAACATTGCATTTTTTTTTTCCATTTTTTGAAAGAATGAGGGCAACATTATTCCAACAAAAAATTAAAAATATCAGGTGTATCTGGAAAAAAAAGTTTGAAGTAAATTTACCATTTAATTCTTAATTTATCTAATTTGAAATGAAAAAAGGAATTATAATATCAACACTTTAATTTTCTACCGTAATCTAAAATGGTATCGCTGCTTTAACATTTAAATATTGTGTCTTTAGTTCAATTGGGTTACTTGTGTCATTCATTATTGATTACTTGATTTAGATTAAGGTGTACACTTTAAATTGTCATCGTCATTGTTAAATTTGTCTCTCAAACTCCTATCTTAATATATGTACATTTATTAATTTTGTAGTGCATGTATTGCGAATCGACTTTTGTATGTTGTTAATTTATACACTTTCCTTTGTTCAAAATATAAAACCTTTTATCTATCCTTGAGAATATATAATTGAATCGTATTTGACGAAACCACAGCAGTTGGGTGATTGCTTCACGTCATTGATATTCCGATGAGAGTTGAAAAGTCTGATCGTAATTCGCAAACAATGCCACCACAAGATCTTATCCTTATCCGATTCTCTTTATTAAATTAAACACTAATTAAGTAATTGAAAAAGCTGTTCAATAAATAATTTCATTGAGGCGGTGTTCAATTCTGTTCAACCAGTGGTACACGCGTGGGCCGCCGAAGTCACAGGTTTAAACTCGAGTATTTTATTCAGTTCTTTGTCATTTTTTATTGTTAATAATAATTTATAATTCCTTGAACTCATCCATTCAGCGAATTTCATGGCATTCAACATGTTAATTTGGTGAATCAAGAGATGTTGACTTCATGGACTTTAGAGTTTCAGTTCAATCTAGATGTGTGTGCTCTGTAGTATAATAAGTATATTACTCACTCATTTTTTGTAAGGCATCTCATTTATGAGAAAGCCAAAAAAAAATTTATATATTTAAAATATTTATTTTTAATTAAATAAAATATTTGGATCTTCTATAGATTATTTATTCTATAGAATATAATGAGAAGAATAATATTAGAAAAATATAATTAATAAAACTTTTTTTTTATCAAAATGTTATTTATTTTGAGATGTCAAATTTTTTCAAAAGTGTCTTATAAATTGAGATCAGGGGAGTAATTATTTTTTTATTATTGTAACCGAATATATTATAATATCTATTTTTTTATAAAATCTCCACAAAGTAAATATATTTTTATAAAATCTTTCAATTATTAAAATATCACTTAATTTTAATCTGAAACAAATGGGCTCAATATTTAGTTTGATACTTCTATTGTCCTTACTCCTTAATGTAAAGCTCTTGACCGAATTATGTGAATTAAGATGAGAATGGGAAGTATTAAACTAAGATTGAAATATATCTATTGCATGTTATGAAAAAAGACATTTCTTGTAAAACGTTATTGCTGTAGTTGGCAACAGCTTGTCCGGCTTTTACATAAATTTCTCCCCCAAAATATTGACTCGTAGAAATATTGCTATTTTTTTAAGATCAGATTATTACTATGAGAGTTTGATCAGAAGTTGTGAGTTTTTTCTTTTCTTTTTTGATTACACGACATTTTTGTTCTTGAACTATTACTGGTGAGCAATGTCATCCTTGATGTATTAAAAATGATTGATGCAGTGTTTTAATACTTGAGTTTAAGATGCCCGGTATCTTTGAGAAAATAGTTTAAAGACAAATATTCTTTAACTTAATAAAAAAATTTAAAATATGAATGTTAGCTAGCAATTAGCATAGTGTTAGGAGAATTTGAATTCAACGTCTGTACGTACATTTAAGCCGTTAGAATTCAAATCAATACTTATGAGTTTATATTCTATTTGAGATTAATAAATTTGTAATTGTCATGTCAGGGCAGGGATTGCATTTACCCACATTTTTCATTGACTACCTTCACCAGCAATTTTCGGTGACTTTCTAGGCCACAATTTCCAAAAGCATTTCTAGCTAGCTAAACTCGAGTTCAGGTTAAAACTTCTGCCAAAACCAACTTTTCGGAAGGGTATAATGATAAAATGTATTTTTTTTATAATAAGGATCTGGTCAAGCACACAAGTTTTGCTCAGAGGTTTTGAAAATAGTGGCTCTTCTCTGAACAAAGATGAGAAAAAGAATATTATGCAGGTTTCTTGTACAAGTTAAACAGATGGATGTGGGGAAGTAGGATTCGGAATTAATAATGATATTAATAATTAATGATAATAATGATAATAATATATGTAGCTTAGTCTGGAAACTTCACACGGGTCAAATTTCAAAATCGCTGAGCTTATTTTCCAATCCATAGCTTGCATAATATACGGCATTATTGGCACTATAAATTCACGCTTTTGGCTTTCAGGAACTATCATTACAAACATAAGCTACACCCTATACAATCCGAGAGAGAGGGGGAGAGAGAGAGAGAGAGAGAGAGAGATATGAAGCCTACAATTTTAGCTTTTGCCTTTCTCATGGCTGTGAGCACTCAAACATTATTGTTAGCATCGGCCGGTCCTTCGCCGGAGCAGGTGGTTGACACTGACGGCAAGAAGGTTCGTGCTGGCGTGAATTACTACATCCGACCAGTGCCGGAAACCCCGTGTGATGGTCAGGGGCCTTGTGTGAACGGCGAAGGATTGGTTCTTATAGCAAGATCGGTAAACGTGACCTGCCCTCTTAACGTTGCTGTTGTGGTGGGATTCCGTGGCCTGCCATTAACATTCACGCCAGTTAACCCCAAGAAAGGTTAGTTGGGTTTGCTACAAATGTTTAAATTTGAATTATTTTATAAAACTTAAATTATCCTTTATCACGTCTGTCAAATTAATGAATTGTTATCCTACACTATTTGAAATTGATCTGCACTTGAACTAGATATTAGCTATGGGTTAATTGATTGAGTCTTGTAAATTAACTTTTTATGGTCAAATGATAAATTGACCCTTAAATTATAAATTTTAAAGTGTTTGGAATCTTAAACTTATTTATAATACAATATTCTCCTTTAACTTTTAAAAATAAATTTAGGGTCTCATAGGCTCTTGAATCTATGTAATTTAATACTGAAATTGCCCTTTAACCTAATTTTTTATTCCAAGAGTAGTAGAATTACTTATTTAACATGAGTTTTTTTTTAACCTTTTAATTATATCAAGAGGTTGTAAAACCTCGATCCTTTCTTATGCCTCACATCAATCCAACAGGAGCTAATTTCAGTGATTAAACACAAATTAAATTCTTAATGATGTATTTGAATTGATAACATATAGTAGCATAGAAAAAAAAAAAATAAGACAGTGAGATTTTAAATCTAAGCAATTTTAATTTTTTTTGTGAATAAGAAATTTTAATTTTAATCAATACATAATAATTTAAGAAAGTTGGTTAATTCTAATAATTATCTCTAAAATTAAATTATTTTAACTAAAATGTCCTTGTAAGTAATCATTATTTTTTAAATTTAATTATGTTATAATTTAATGAAGGGTAATTTAAAAAAGAGTAAATGAGCAAATTATTTCTTTAACTTTAGGTTCAATAACATCATAGATCCTAAACTTGTTTATCATATAAATTGTTTCTTCAACTTTTGAAAATGTTAATCTGACTATTGTTGTTAATAAAAATTAACTTTGACCGTTAGTTAATTAGAAAATACCAAAAAATGCCTCAACATTTACAAAAAAAAGGACCAAATTTTTTTGGTCATTTTTTATAATTTTTGGATCCTTGTCTATAATTTTTGGGTCATTTATTATAATTTTTGTCCTTTATCTATAATTTGTGAAATCTTTTTCTGTTATTTTATGGTTAATTAATAGTTAAAATTAATATTTGTTAATGGCAAGGGCTAAATTGCACAATTTTTAAAATTTGAGAATTAATTTGTCTAATATACAAGTTAAGGGTCAATGATTGGTGCAACTGGATATAAAATTCAGAGTGTAATTTGTTTATAAAATACTTGTTATTATTTTATTTACAAAACAAGTCATTTGACAGTTTTGCGTGTACTGAAAAAACGAAGGGAATATATCTAAACTCAATACCTACAAATTTATTCTAGACTATAGTGAGACATCCAAACTTATTCAGATCCGGTGCTATATATTCTTTTTAGTCCTATTTATGAATCATTTTTAATATTTTTATTAAAATTAAGAAAAATCTTAAATCTCATTAACTTTGTCTAAAAATTCATCAAGTTTTTAACTTTACCTTTATTAAGTATACTTACTTTAAAATAAAGATAATAATTATGAAGGTGTCTTATAAATAGGATAAAAATAAATACATACTTATTTGTTGTTAAAATGGTAATAAAGACTTGTTTTTCTCAAATTGTAACTTTGTTCTTGTTTGCAAATAATTTTCTTGAAAAATCCTTAAATGCGGTTATCTCAATAAAAATTAATGATGTTAGTTACAGATCAATATATTTCACATCATTATTAGTATTATCTCATCCTTTTTTCAGGCGTATTAAAAAATAGAGAGACTAATATTGTAACAGGATAAACTAGAAGGACCTGAGGTAATGAAAAGACTATAGGAACCTATACAAAACATGTTAAAACTATAAGAAATAATAGTTGTGTTTGTTTATATAATATATTGATGATTGACGTGTTTCCTGATACTTCTCTTTTTATTAAAGTTCATGGGTATTCATTTATCATTATTGATATAAAAATCTTCAGGAAGAAAAAAAAATTCTGGATATTTTTGTATCTTAATTTTTTTATATATTATATTGATGAGGAACTTGTTTAATTTCCTCTTCAAGGTGTCGTTCGCGTCTCGACGGATCAAAACATAAAGTTCAATCTGACAACGGCCTGTAAAGAAGGCACAGTGTGGAAGCTTGACGACTTGGACACTGCAACGGGACGAAGGTTCATAACCACGGGTGGCGTTGTGGGAAACCCTGGCCCGGAAACAATAGGGAATTGGTTCAAGATTGAGAAATACGAGGATGATTATTATAAGTTGATGTACTGTCCAAGTGTGTGCAAGTTTTGCAAAGTTCTCTGTAAGGATGTTGGAGTGTTTGTGGATCAGAATGGAAATCGTCGATTGGCTCTCTCTGATAAACCCATGAAAGTTCGGTTCCAGCTTGCTTCTGCCTGACCAATGTGACTCGAATTGAATCCTCTTTGAATCTTGTAGCACAATACACAAAGGGTGTGTGTGCGCCTTTTTTTTTTTTTTTCAGAAAAACAAATTGACCATAAAACTATATGTTTAAAAGTGTTGTGATCCTTAATTTATTTTTTTGTGCAATTATTTCCTTTTAACTGTTAAAAATAGTGCAATTTAATTAGAAAAATAAAATAAAATGACAACAAAAATAACAAAAAATTTAATAAAATTTTCTTGGTCTTTTTTTTATAATTTTTGGGGTCCTTTATTGTATTTTTATTTTTTAAAAAAATTTTTATGTCATTTTCTGATCAACTAATAATTAAAGTTAACAATAGAGGTTAGATTGCACTGTTTTTAAAAATTGAAGGAAAATATTGTATTAAAAATAAATTTAAAATTTCAAACACTCTTAAATCTATAATTTAAAAGCCAAGTTACTTATTTTCACTCTTATATTGAAAAACTGCTCCGTGTTTGGAAACAAAGTGAATTAAAAAAGGAGAAAAAAAAATAAATGTTATGGTATGTAAGAAATTCACGTTTACTTTGTAAAGTTTGGGAGGAAGTCTCTAAGAAAAGCCTTCAACCCAACAATATTGACAGTGACAAGAGATTGTTGATTGATATTAATCCAAAACACGCTGTAGCCCTATAATGCTAGGTTTTTCAAAGTTTGGGAGCCTTAAAAACAAGGAAAATAAACTATAAAACTACAAACAAAGCCAGCAGGGGAATGCTGCTGGGTTTAGATTCAACACAACTTTAAATAATTCATTGAAATTATTCTATGTTACGGACAATGCAACATCTATAACATTATTAAGGCCATCCTAATCCTAATTTTTAGACAATTACATCAAAGTTTTGTAGAATTTAAGAAGCCTAATTCTTAAGAGATAATGAAATTTTGAGTTTAATTCCTCAAGTTTGCAGCGAAGGGGATCTTCATGACAGTCGAGAAGAAGAAAGAGAAAGAGGGTTTGGCCAAGACGAAGCGATGCAGAAAATTAGGGTTGAAGAACACGGGCCTTGACACTCGGTCGAGTAAAACACACTTTAACCCGATCTACAAAGAGCAAAGCCCAACTAGAGCTCTTGACAACCACAGTGTTGGACTAAATGACAATATATCACTGGACAAAAATGGGCAACAAGCAAATTTTTTACATGATCTATGGACCTATTTAAAAAACCCAACGTAATATCAAAGCAACAAAATGAAACTACACACTAAATGGGCTTAGGCCCACGAGCTTAGTTCCCTTTTCCAACTCCCTGCGAGACCTAGACTGGCTAGACTAACTAAGTTAAAATTTAAAAAAAAAAACAACTTAATAACATATATGACAGTATAAGGAAAAAATAATAATAAAATATCTTTAAATTATTTAAATAATATTTTAATTTTTTAAAATGTCATAATTTTTTTAAAATTTATAAAAAATTTTCTATCATTAAGGAAATATAAATAACCAAATTGTCTTTAATTCAATTATCAATTGACATTCATAAGTTTTTTTATAAGATTCACAATTTTTTTTCTTAAAATCACAAGAATTCAATAACAATTCATAAGTTTATATTTGAAATTCTAATATTTCTCAAGTTATGTTGCAAATAGCACATTTAAACACAAACTTGTAATTGCTGTTGAATTTTTATGATTTTAAGAAGAAAAGTTGTGAATCTTCAAATACAACTTGTAAATGGTAATTGATATTTATAACAATTAAGAAATACTAAGATTTTAAATATCAACTTGTAAATTACTGTTGAATTCTTGTAATTTTTTTTAAAGAATTTATAAATCTTATAACAAAATTTATGAATGGTGATTGATATTTGAGTTAAAGGCAATTTAGTTATTTAGATTAATTCCTTAATGACATAAAATTTTTTAAGAACTTAAAAAAAATTATGAGATTTTAAGAAATTAAAATATTATTTACATAATTTAAAAGAACTTTATTCCGTAATATAAGATATATAAGTACATTTAAAATTTTACATGTGTTGGTGTGAATGCAAAGGTAAATTGTATAGTACAACGCGAGTGTTAGTGTACGTCCTTATTCATAAAATAAAATAAAATCAATCATGTATTATTCTCACGATCTTGCATTATGCATGTCCAAGATCTCTAGGTTATATTTTTTTTTCCCCCGAACCTGACATCCTGAAGCGTCTAGGTATGTTGAGTTTTCTTATTCAAACACTAAAGGCCAAATAAGGATGAAATGTTACAAATACATCTGCCCACACTAGAGTGTCGTCCTGTAAAAATATCTTCAAGTCTTCAAGAGGATAATCTAAATAATGCACTCCAATGTCTAGATTAGATTTTTTATAAGAAGAGTCAAACATATTATTTGTAATGAATCTTTCTCATATATCCGGCATCTCAACTTCAATAATCAATATTTAACATAATATTAAATAATAAATAAATTTAAACTATCAAAATCTAATTTAGACAGTTCAAAATTATAGTTAAAAATTAGAAAAAAAATTCATAAAATATTTTAATCACAATTCTAAGCTATTTATATGAAAATTAACAGTTTAAATTTATTTATTTATTATTTAATATTATACTAATAATTTTATAATTTATTAAAAGTCAACTATTGAAGTTAAAATCCAAAAATGAAAAGATACTAGAAGGGTAGGATGAGAAAAGCCAACTTTATAACCTTAAACTTGAAGTTCATTTTCTTTTGTGATGGTCTTTTAAATTGTTCCCTATGATCATATCTTTTAAATTGTTCTCCAAGCTTACGTAGATATGGACAATTCCTTTTTTTTTTTTTTTGCCCAAATTAGATATGGACAATTCAGATTAAAGGTACACATCTGTAAAATATGCGTTTGTAACAATATAACTATTAAGATCCATTCACAGCTAAAAGGTATTTTTAACATAATAAAATACAGGTAATTTTAAAATAATAAATAGTAACAGGAAAAACATAAATACAAAACATCATCAATCATCAACGATTAAAAAATGAGAGAATTACAGTTAAGTTTCACATAAAAAAATTAATTACCACAATTTAATTCAGTTATTAATTATTAATGAACTTTACAGTAATTAATTTTCTTATGTGAGACTTTAATATAATTATCCCTTAAAAATTCTACCGAAATACACATCCAAATCCACCAGTCAGTAAAGAACAACGGAGAAAAATCATAAAAAGCAACTCCAGTAGTTTAATATTTCCATGTCCGGTGATGAAGGACGAAATCACGTTTATTAAAATTTTAGTTATTAATTTTAAAATTATAACAAATATGTAACTTTTTGATTGTACCCTTTTTTAATATTTAATAATCATAGCAAATTATTATTTAAGAATTCAAATGATGATAAATAAATAGGAGTAAAATTAAGAAAAAAATTAATTACTGCAGTTTTTTCTTATAAAAATATTTTCAAATTTCACCTTATATTAAAGGGAAAAAATAGAAAACCTAAGAAATAATCGAGCACACTCATAATTATAAGAAAATGTCTCATTGAAAAAAATGGCTAAAATAATATTCTTTTCTGAAATTATTTAATACTGCATTCAATATTATTGGTTCACATCGAGCATTGTTAAGCCCCTCTTAACCATATTTTTTTTATTTACAAGATTTAAACTTTTAACCTTGCTTAAAGAGAATCAAATCCCTGCACTTGATCCAATCACCATTGGTATGCAATATTAAAATTATAAATCTACTTGCAGTTTTATGAACCTTTATTTGGAACTCTAGAACTGATCTAGATTGAGATTTAAGGAAAATTAATTATTTAGTCCTTATAATTTTGATCCAATTGTAATTCAATTCTTGAATTTTGACTAGTCGTAACTCAATCTTTACAGTTCTAACTCGGTTGTAATTTAGTCCTTGAATTTTATCTCTTGTAATTTAGTATTTATAGTTTCAATCACTTAAATAATAGTCCCTATATTTTAAAAAATAAAATTATAAAGATTAAAAATATTTCAAACTTTTAATATTTATGATATTTATAAAGATTAAAAGATTTTAATAATTTAAAATATTACTAATAAATTTTAGCATAATTTTAATCTTTATAATTTTATTACTAATATTATGAATATTATAAATATTAAAATTTAAAAATAATATAATTTTAATCTCTTAATCTTTAAATATTATAGCTATTAAAAGTTCAAAATATTTTTAATTTTTCTAATTTTTTTAAATATAAGGATTAATATTTAAGTGATAAGAGATAAAATTTAGGAATTAAGTTACAACCGATTTAAAAATATAAAAACTGAGTTATGACAGGTTAAATTTAGTGATTGAATTGTAATTTCATTAAAGTTATAGGATTAAATGGTTAATTTTTTTTTAAAAAAATATGTAGTTGCAGTTTTATAAACCCTTAACACGTGCACAATATCGTGTTTCACATTTTTATTTGCTTTCATCCGCCGAACGTGTCAACCACCGCCTATGGTTTAGAGATAAAATATTAAATAAATAATTATTAGCAGCCCTATGAATTCACATGCTAAATAATTAACATAACAATATCTCTTCCATGAAAATTAACGTGCTTTCTCGTTTTCATGAAAGCAAAAGATTCTCCTTTTATCTAATAATAATAGAAAAGGATTCCCCTTTTTTATTATTATTATTATTATTATTATTATTATTATTTTCAAAATTAGGAATTATAACCCATTCAATTATTTCCGCTAATGCTAGAGTCACTTCCAACATTTTTGTCAAAAACAAGAAAAATATTAAATTTTTTAATTATGTCTATAAATTTAATAATTTTTTAATTTTGTTGTTGTTAAAGATATATATATATATATATTAAAAATAAATATTCTAACATTTAATGATATTCTCAACATATAACAGTAGCAAAATAATAACGATAGATATAATAATTATTGAAGTATTTTATAAATAAAATAAAAATAAATATTCTCGTGAGTAAGATTTGAGGAGTAGGTAAAGTATTTTATAAATAAAATAAAAATAAATATTCTCGTGAGTAAGATTTGAGGAGTAGGTAACAAGTTAATTAATGATTACATGGAACTCACTTTTAATTTGAAACCAAATGGGTCCAAATTCATTTGTTTACATCCGTCCAAACGTGATTCGACGGTTCCGTCGTCTCGCCACTTATTATTAATAATGAAAAGGGGATAAAATAAAAGATTGATGCGTAATTGTATGTAACTCCTTCCTTTCAAAAAAAAGGAAGACATTTTTTTTAAGGTGAAATGTTTAAAATATAATTTTTTTAATCTTTTAAAGTATAATTAATAAAGTTTTTTAAAAATATCTTTAATTAAGAGGTATAATTAAGAATGTTTTTTAATTGATAAACTTTATTAAATAATAAATATATAATTTTAAAGACAATTAATTAACTCATTAAGGATATAAATTGATTAAAAATGCTTTATAATATTGAACGAAATGTGTATAAGATTATCCATATCCATATTACAATTATTTAATGAAAAAATTTGGGTAAAATAGATTCTAACGTTAATTACAGTTTTTTTTTCCCTATAGCTCAGTGGATATAACGGAATTATGACATGATATTTGTGTCATTTTTATAAGGTAAAGAGAGTTTATTTTTGATCCTATTTATAAGACAATTTAATTATTATAATATTCATCTTTAACCTTTTGTCTCAATAAAATGTTGAAAATGTTAATTATTATTAAATGCTATAGTATTTTATCTTTACAGTATGTAAATTTGATAGAAGTAGAGTTATTATTTTGTATTGAATAAATTCAATACTATTAAATACCTTAAATCAGCCTATAATATCAAATATTACCTAATTTCAATAGGTTGCATGTTCTTCTATGTCAATGGTTTTTTTTTTTAATGGAAAGTATAAATATAACAACTCCTATATATATACAAATAATTAACGTTGTGACTCTTTTATTAAAATTTATAACATTATCTTAATATAAATCAGACAAACAGAACGTGTTAGACGCCGGGAGAGGGGTCTCTCCATTTTTTTCCCTTCACTTCCCTCCACTTCTCCCATTCCCACCATTCAAATTATTTTATTAAATAATTTTTTTAAATGATAAAATTAATGAGTGGTGGAGATGGGGGAAGTGGAGGGAAATGGAGGGAAAGAAAGTAGAGAGACTCTCTTCCCGTTAGATGCCCACGTGATCCTTGAAGCTATTACTGTACAATTAACTTAAGCAGAAGATTAAGTTAACGAGGGTGACTTTAATTTGTTGAAGCTTAACCCATGCAAATTCTCTGTAAATTTGAGCTCCATGCTAGCCACTTCAACACAGCACCAGAATACTTTCATTCACATCAAGAGCAACATGAAGCTTGCCTTGTCAACAGTAACTCTCTTCCTCTTCCTCTTCACCTTCTCCACAAAAGCATCAGGGTTAAGGGCAGACACACCAGAAGCGGTGGTTGATATCTCCGGCGAAGAGCTAAAAGCCGGTGCAAGCTATTATGTCTTTCCGGCCACCGGAGGGAGAGGTGGGCTTTCTTTCAACACCTTCGGAAACGACACCTGCCCCCATGTCGTTGTGCAAGAATGGTCTGAACTCTCCAAAGGCAAGCCAGTGCAGTTCTTGCCTTTAAACCCTGAGAATGATGCCGTTTTCACCTCTACAAATCTCAACATCAAGTTCAGTGAAATGATTTCAATCTGTGTCGAGTCCGGGGTTTGGAAAATAACCAAAAGGATAAGTGAAGCAAGGCATGTGGGCACTAATGGCACTGCAGGGGCGAATCAAGATTTTGTCAACTGGTTTATGATTGAGAAAGCAGAAACTGAGGGTGCTTATAAACTCAAGTTTTGCCCTAACGCACCATATATTGTATGTCAGGATCTTGGAATATTTTATTGGGGTGATGATGGGAAAAGGTATGTAGGTCTCGCAAATCCTGGTGAGTTTGAGCCACTCACAGTTGTGTTCCAGAAGGCTAATGATGTCAATGCTGTAATGAGCATCTAGATGAGAAGTTTCGTCCGACTTCTTATAAGCCAATAATTAAGTCTCTCTTATCAAGTTGGTGAGTATCACCAGCGTAATAATGATGATAAGAGCTATCATGTACTAGGGTTATGTTGATTATGGAATAAATGGTTAAGTATTTCGTCATAATCCATTTATGCAACGATGCTTTTCATTAAATTCCAACCGATTCCCATTTCACTTAAAGTGTGTTTGTTTGTTTGCTTGTTTGCTTGCTTTTTTCAAAATAACTTTAAGTTTGTCAAAATCCCTAATTTATTGCTTCTCAAATGTTGTCTCAAAATCTCCTCACATTTATAACATCTGAAAAGTACTATCAAAATGGGAGATAGGCTAATTAACTAGTCTAACCCACTTAAATAAAATTAAACAATATTTACAATTCCAATGTGTCATCAAAATAAAAACATTTCGACTCATCACCATTCACCAGGACAATATTTTTATCAAACGCTATCTTTTCACAAGTCTCATTCCAAAATGTGTTGATAATCATCATCGGTTAATGTCATATTTCAAACATATCAACCTTCTTGATACGTTTTACAAAATTATATATACTAAAAGTAATCTTTGTTGAGACTTATTGATCTTCGCTTATTGCCTTGCCTGAAATTATAGAGTGCATTCTTTAAACCTAGGTTAATGCAGAACAATATTTTTATAGATAAATAGGTATATATTTTGGGTTATATTTGAATTTATTCATTAATTTTATATATCTATTTAACTGATTTTTATATATTTTCTCACTCCACTTAATCATTATTTATATAAAAGTATAATTAGCTTTGGTTTTTTTTTTTTGCAATTTATATTTCAGGTGCCTTTCTCGCAATTATATGCTTCAAAAATCAGCTTTGGTTGTTGGTTAGTGGGTAGGTTCAAACTGAATTATATATATATATATATATATTAAAAGAGTTGGTTGCCTCCAATTTTTTTTTATTTTTCATAGATATCCTTTTATTGAAGGCAATCCTATTTGAAGGATGGTCTAATTTCATCTCAAAACCGAAAGCTATGAAGCAGAGATGAAAGAGAACATGGGTGATTCATTTGTTGGAAAAGGGACTATAGCAAGAAGAGAGATCCTAAAGCCCTAGTTTTTTTTTTTGGCTAAATTATACATAACGTTCTTGAACTTTGTGTTTGTTGCACATGACCTTCCTGATGTTTGTTAGTTTAAAATTAAGACCCTCATGTTTCATGTTTTAGCTATCAACTCCCTCACCGTTAAAAGTGCAATTAAATTTAACATTTTTGTTTTCTAGCTAATTTTTTTAATAAATCATATGCCATGTTACTCCAATAAAAAAAAATACTTTATTGCTTACCATGCTGCAAGTAAGCAGAAGAATAGAGGATGCTGTTGAAGTCAAAATAGCTGTGGTGATGAGTTCCTGTCGTTAAAATTGAAAAAAAACCTAGGCGTCGTGTGATTACTTTCTGGACATAATAGCCTAAAAATTTGCTCAGGCAATTTGATTAATAACCAGATAGGGATATATCAAAAAAAAACTTAAGTTATGTTTGGATGGGTAGATTTAAGTTGAAAATTTGAATTTAAAATCTCATATTTAAAATTTACCGATTCTAAATTCTTTTTTTGGATGATATAAAAAATTTTAAATTATAATATTAAAATTTTTTGTTTGGATCTAAAGTAAAATTTTAAATTTTAAATTTTATATTTGAATTTAAAAGAAACTTAAACGACTAGTCAAAGTTGACGGTTTGAATGGCTAACTTTTATCAAGATCAAATAGTCAAAGCCGATTGGGATTGTAACACCAGTGACAATCAAGAGGGAACAGCCAACTACCGCTAGAATTAGATAGTCAAAGTCAACTGGGACTGCAATATTGGTGACAATCAAGACAGGACGGCCAACTACTATTGTGACAAGACCAACTTGACGAAAGGGACCAAAAAATCGATTTCCATTGGGACCGAACCGACGGTGATGATCGGGATTGAACGGCTAAGTTCCATCTAGATCAGATCTAGTGAAAGTTGACTGTCCTGTCCCAGTCATAGCCATCGGTCCGGTCCTCGTAGAAGTCAACCGATTCAGTTCTGATGGAAGTCGACCGTCCAGTCCTGGTCATCACCATATGTCCAGTCCCTATGAAAATCGGTCATCTGGTCTCCATCATTGCCATCAATCTTGTCTTGGTGGAAGTTAGTCGTTCGACCTCGGTTGTTGCGATCAGTTCAGTCCAGGTGCAAGTTGGCTTTCTAGTCTCAATCGTCGCCAGCAGTTCAATTATGATAAAAGCAGATTGTCTGGTCCCTATCGCTGTTGATCTGGTCCTATGGAAGTCGGCCTTCCGGTCTTGTTCAACAATGGCGACTTGTTTCTGTCAACTTCAGTGGTCTGATCCAATTATCATTTATGGGCTGATCAATCAAGCTTTGGTAGATTTAAGTCAAATTATAAAAGAGATTGAGGTAGGATTTAAAATAATATGGGTTTAAGAAGGATTTCAAATTACAAAGAGATTGAGGTTCCAAATTCATACATTTTTAATTATCCAAACAATGGATTTGGCTCAAATCTAAATCCATATGTATCCAAAAATATTATTAGCTTTTACCACTCAATAGTTTGGCCATTACTTGGTCAACGAGTCTGGGATGAACAAATATTTTGATAAAAAGTAACTAAATAATTAAAATCTTCAAAATTCCATATCACAAGCTAAGTGTTTTTTATTGTAGGTATATGGCATGGGATTTGAAAAAAAATAGTGATATGGCAAAAAACCGTTAAATTTAATGGCAACTTTAATAGTAAGGTAGTTGATGGTCAAAACATAAAAAATAAAACTTGGGGGGTAAACTTTAAGAAGAGAGAGGGCAAACAACTACATAACAGTAATTTGCATATATCTACTTGGCGGAGAAAAAAAGTTATATAATTCGAAACATCTTTTCACAAAATTAATTGTTTTATTTTGAATTCAATTCAGCTTTTCTATATTTTTGCCAAGTTTCTTCTCTTTCATCTCCTCCAACATTTAACTCTCGATCATATCTTATCAATGCCCTTCTCAATAAATTATTGTTGCTGTTATGTTTAAATTGATTTAAAAACTGTAAATTCTCAACCCAAAAAATGGGTTTGGCTTCAGTTTTTGGTGTGATAAACTATTAAAACCTAGATCCCCGTATAGACAGAAGCAGAAGTGTCTTCGTTCTCTCTAATTCGGTGTTGTCTACTCTCGTTTCTTCATCCTCGTCTTTCAATGCTATTGTTAGAGGATCAGGGGCTTTGTTGGGATCAAGTGTGTATTCTTTTCAACCATCTTCCTCTATGACCTTTATTCAGTTTCTTCATTTCTATGTCTCCTCTTTGTATCATACTTTGATCTTGAGAGAGATTTTTCCTTCTCTACCAATAAGTGAGGTCAATCAATCCATGTTGTGCATTTTTGGGTTAATTGCATTGAAGTTAATCCGTCATTGTGAAGCTTCTCATTTTGCAATAATTGAACGCGAAGTTATGCTGTTGAAGTTTCAGATAATTGATTAGTTGATTGTTGGAAGCTTTCATTTTTCGTTAATGGAACGAGCTTTGTATATGCTATGTTGGTTTTTTTTTTATTAGTTTTGTTATGGTTTGCAGCTTGAATTTGTATATGTTGTGCTGAGTTCTATACAATTAGCTTTGATTTGGTTTTAACAATTGGTTCTATTATGTTGCCTGTTGTATTGGTTGAGTTCGATTAGTGAGTGCTTTACATTATTGGCACGTGGTGAATTTTTTGTTTTTTGGTATATGCATGACTTAGTGTCTTGTGGTTACTTGATTTGGTTAATTGATGCTAGATTAGGCTGATGAGGGTCTAATTGTTTTACCTGTATTCCCGTAAAGTTTCAATCAATGTTGGGGGGAATTTGAATATTTTGATATTCGCCTATTGGGATAGTACCCATGAATTTGTGATTCTTACCGCATGATGCATAAGTCCCAAGTTTTATCTAAGGCCAGCCCTTCCAAATATTTTATATTTTTTCCTTCTTTATTTTAAAAATTTTTCTTGCATGCCTTTGATGGGAGTAATACAACAAGTGAACTGCATATTAAGAAATTAACACAACTAGCTTGTGACGTACGACAAATATGATACCTTCACCAAGCTCATTTGGTAACCATTCTCAAGAATGATGATGATTATCTTTTGTTTGTTGACAATTCATTTGATAACTCCACTTGAATTTGTTTTCAAAATAGATCTTTGAAATTCGATGTTTGTTTCCTTTATTTCAATTGCAATGTTGTCCCTAGACCCTCAGTGTTTCCAAGTGTCACACTTGGTAGATCCTAAAAGCACTGTTAGCTCACCAAGTTTGGCATCTTTTGGAGTGGCATAAAAAATGATACTCCTTTTAGTCTTGAATGCATGTCACTTGGGAGGTATCTTTCATGGCCCAAATTATAAGTTACAAATAAGAATGCCAGAAGCATTAACTAATTTTTTCCATTTCTACTCTTTGTTAACCATGCTAATCAGTTTGGGAGTCAGAATAAAATGAGAGAGAAATTAAAGAAGGTGCTAATTTAGGGTCATTTAATTGTGGGCATTTTTGAGAAAAATTAAATTTGTCACAAATTCAAAAAGTCTGACTGCTTCTTACCATTCTTTTTTGCATTTATAGGGTAGGTATTGGTGATTTGTATTCAAGACTGGAGGGAGCACCTTGTTTGTATGATGGTTAAAGTAGAAATTTTCAGTTAAAGTTAGTTGTGGAAATAACATTAGGCTGCTAATTTCTTTCATTGCAAACTCAAAAAGAGCAATGCCGCCACATGAATTGAAGTGACACTTATACGCCACCATGTAAAGAGCACCGTCATTGGGGAAGATAAGCAAGATAGCCTGGAAATTTAAAAGGGCAATGCTACTATAGGGCATATGCAAAAATGAAACTCATTCTTTTAGCTAAAGATCCATATCTCAAGCTGATTCAAATGTGCTAGTTGCTTGACAAAGGAGCACAGGACGATGACTAGATTTGACTTATGTTTTGTTGTAATAACGTGTAAACAATACTTGTGATTTGTTGTTTTGTTGTTGTGAATTGTGATTTGACTGAACAAGTAAAGCAATTTAATGCTTTCTCTATTCTTGACATAGTTTTGTGATATATCTAGTTATTTATAATGATGTCTACTTTGTTTCTGATGTATACATTGGAATTGAATTATTACAATTTTACAAGAAAATGCATTGTCTGGAGTTTTGGTGAAACTATAGTTAGTTTCTTCCTTTTGCGGTTTCTTTCTTCTTCCTCCTTCCTTCTTTCTTTCCTTTCACTAATACCAAAAAAAAAAAAAAAAAGTTACCGGAATATCTATATCAGAGCATTTATATATATAAAACTCTAAAAGCATAAAAGCTTTTTTATAATGTTTAGTCTATGAGAGCCTTTTGAAATGAAAACGTTTTCATAGACACTTAAAAAATTACAAAAAAAAATAACAAAGTGTTTCTGTTTCAGAATACCCTCATATGCTAAGTACCCTATGCGAAAAGTTCTCATGGGGTGTTTTATTTTATTATTGTTAAAAATTAAAACTTATAGGAGCTGTTTTCATCAGAAAAACTTTCGTAGTGTTTTTTTTTAATATTATTTAAAAAATAAAAAAATTAAAATTAAAATCTATGAGAGCTTTTCTCATCAGAAAAGTCAAAACCTACAGTAAGATATTTATTTATTTATTTATTTTATCAAGTCTTTAATTCTTTCTTTTCTTTTTCACCCCCTCATTCGAAACCGACCTCACAGGTCGAAGCCACCGAACTCCTTTCCTTCTGCCGTCCACTGAGTTTCGGTCGTGCGTATCTCTGGTGTTTCGAACCTCTGCCGCCGTTGTCGAGTCCACCAGCCGCCGCCGTTCCTCCGGAAGTCGAGACTTAGTCTTCATCAAGCCGTCAAAGTTCTTCTTCATCCTCCCTCTGCTGTCGCTCCTTCTTCCACCGTCAAAGATCTTCCTCGCGCCGTCCGAAGTTCAGATCTGTGTGCACACCCGCACCCATTCGACCAGTCTGCCTCTCTATTAGTGGTTTTGATCTTTGGGTATGGTACTTTGCCATTGATCTTGGGCAAATAATTCTAGATGAGGGATTGTTTTCTCCTATAATCAAAGCCCAACTGGTCCGATATTTTTTCTTTTTTTTGTTTTATAGGAGGAGTAAGAGCAGTTATTTTCAGGGTCGAAAGTGGACAGCCGAATTTCGGAAGCATCTCGAAGAGTTGTGCAAGAAGAAGAATGACTGATTTTGCAGAAAGCACCACTGCAGAACAAATTGATGGATATTAGTTAGTCTTCTCTCCAATATCAGTTGGGAAGGTATTTCTCTGAGTTTCTTAAGTGGGGCTCTTGGGAAGTACAATATGCAGGTAAAGATAAACGAAAAGTTGTCTGAGATGATTTTCACATGTAAATCTTAGAGATGCTAATATTTCATGGAAAAGAGTAGGATAATGGAAAAGAATAAAAGGCTGGGTTACATGTTACCTGTTTGAACTGATGATATATGTTTTTGCAATTTTAGCTGAGAATGCATTCTCTGACGAAGCATTACCCTTATTCAAATGCATTTTTAAATGCATTAATTTTAATCGATTAATTTTCATGAAGTATTTAGCCAGAGGGGCACTTTGGAATGCTTCAGTATTTGCACCTAAAGGAAAAGTTTATTGTGAAGAAGTGAAAAGAGAATATATTAGTCATTAGGAAGGTATTATTTTTCATGTAATCTGTTGTACACTTGGACATCAATTAAACGCTAAATTTACTGCTCCTGCTTATTCATATTATATAGGGAATGGCTTCAAGGGCATTAGATTGTGTCTGTTTTGTTACTATATACTACTTCCTTCTGCTTTTAATTTCAGTGCATCTTATGGGACAATGATGTAAAAAGCACCAAGCATACATTAAAGGAAATAATAATTCATTATTCTTGCCTAGAACTCCCAGAGGGGAAGGCTGTGATCAAATCAGAGTCCCTGGCAGATCTAGCGTAAGTCAATTTTCTAGTCACCCCATTCTTGTTAGTATATATGTTAGACGCTGCCAAATTTGCTGGTAAATTTTTCACATTCAATAGAACCTGTTTGCCTGCTGTTGGCCAGGCTGAGTTCAGAATCTCTTGTAGGAGAAGTAACTTAATTTGAACAAATGGTCTAGTTCAGTCTATTTGGATGAATTAAATTTCTTCTCAGCTAAAGTTTTATTCTCAAGAGATGTAGTTTGTTCATATCAACTGAAAAGTTAGAATTTGCTCAAAATACCTGTCATTTTTTTGTCCAATGTGAGGAGAATCCTTATATTGCATTATAGACTCGTGTAAATAATCTTTATCTGTCTTGAAAACAAATAAGGCCTTATACACGGAATAGTTAAGTTGATACAAATTGAATAAGCATTAGCGATTGGTAGTATACTTGTGAAGATCGTGAATCTGCTCAAATCAGAAGCAGGTGACGTTGAATCAAATCGCTAAGTACTTCTTGATTCTTTGTTTCTCCTTATGTGTCCATTTAGTGTAAACCTTGCTTATAGACGTGATTATAGATAAAAATTTACTAATTGCAATCCTTGATCCATTGGTAATCCCAAACATATTATTAAGACTGAGTTTTCTCTTCCATTGGTAGTCCCATTACTGGGACAATGTGTTTCACTTATGAGATTATTGCCGAGTACAATTACCGAAATGAACTTGTAAGCTGGCAGGTCTTGTATTCTAAAGATTTTCCCTTCACATTCCACACAAGGCTGTTTTCTTTGTATTAGTACTTGATATTAGGATCCATCTATTTTTAGAGCAAAGCTAATTATTTATCCTTTGTACAGATGCTAATATCAGATCTAGAACTTCAAATTGCATTTGCATTTTAATTTGGAAAACAAAATAAAGGGCACCTTAGTTGTCAAATAGCATGGAAATTAACAAAATTCAACTTATATGATAAGTGAGCTTTCCTGTCTTCTGTTCTATTGGGGTTCAAAGCCATAGCATGAGTTTTAGCAGAATATCATGTCACTGTTTTGTTTTGAGATTGACTGTTGAGTTTCTGCTCTCATTTTTAGGGAATCAAAGTCCATCTCTCTCTAAAGGTAATACTTCTGATGATGTGGATGAAGGTTAGAATTTGATAACTTTGTTCTTTTTCCTCTTTCTCCTAATTCATTGTTAAAATAGTTCCACAATTTTTCTTCTAATGCTTGGTGGAGCCAATAACTGTCTGACTGTCTATTATTATTGTTGTGCCTTATGCCTGTATGGACGTTGGGTTATAATGTATGTTTCTTTCTCTATATATACAATGCTTATGATTGAGGAAACCTATGCTGAGAAAACAATGACACCTGCTACTTTAGTGAGATTATGATGGACTCTTTATTTTTTATAACTGAAAAAAGACATGGAGGAGAGAGAGAAACAAAGGCAGAGTAGAAAATGGACGCTGGAACTTTAGTAATAGCATATCTCTAATTTATAAAAAACTTTGTCTTCGTTCTTTTTCGGACTAACCACAGAAACTCAGACACCAAAAATAGACAATCCATATCTATTTATATTTGGAGCTTTGTATTCTGGTTTTTATCTCTATTTGGAGTTTGGTTTTCTTTTTTTGTCAAGTTAGTTTATCTATTATAATCATTTTCATTCAGATGCGTATATCATTTGATGTAGTCTATGTTATTACGTGATTAATTTTGTTTCTGATTCTTCAATATCCCTGGTATTCATCCCCGTGTTGTCTCTGCTTCCTATTCCAGGTTTATGCTCTTTTATCTCCAACATTTAACCCTCGACAATAACTTATTAAGATATGCCCTTCTCATCAAATTTTCAATTGCTATTATGTTTAAGCCGACTCAAAAACTGTAAATTCTTAACCCAAAGGGGTGTGGCTTCTGTAGCTGATACGCTTTATAGTCATTTGCATAAAAGCAGCGGCAGTATAGAGAAGTCATTATCTATGGAAAATGCTAAACTAGATGCTCATTGTGTTACCCAAGTCTTAGATAAATGCTTTCCTACACAGCCTCATTTGGGTATTAGATTCTTCATTTGGGCTGGATTGCAGTCTAGCTACAAGCATAGTGCTTACATGTACAAGAAGGCGTCAGTTGCCGTTAATGAAAATCCACAGGTCATATTGGATTTGATACGTTCCTATGAATCCGAGGGATATTTAGTTACTGCTAAGACATTTAAGGAACTTCTGAGACTTTGTAAAGAAGTTCAACATGCTGATATGGCTAATGTATCATTATGGCTGTTAAGGAAAATGGAAGAGTTGAATTTGCATGCTGACACTCCCATGTTCAATATCGTTATAAGTTTCTGTTGCAAGACGGGTGACATGAAGATGGCAGAAAACTTGATTAGAGAGATGAGTTGCAAGGATCTCTATCCTGATATGATTACATATATGACAATGATTGAAGGGTTCTGTAATGCAGGTCAGTTGGAGAATGCATATTCTATGCTCAAGGATATGAAGTCACATGGATGTTCAACCAATTCTGTGGTTTACACAGCCCTTCTAAACGGGTTTTGTAGGTTTGGATCCATGGAAAGGGCAATGGAACTGTGGAAGGAAATGAAGAAAGAAGGCGGGGATTGTAATCCAAATGTTGTTACTTATACATGTCTGATTCAGAGTTTCTGTAAGAAGGGCAAGTGGAAAGAAGCATTGCAGATTTTAGATAGAATGAGAGATTTGGGGTGTTCTGCGAACTATGTGACAGTTAGTACACTAATTGACAGCCTTTGCAATGAGGGTAATGTTGAAGAGGCATACAGGTTATGTGACAAAGTTAGAGAGCATGGAATATCACATGAAGATTGCTACAATTCACTTGTGATAGCTTTGATGAGAACAGAAAATTTTGAAGAAGCAGAGAGACTCTTCAGGGTAATGCTTGCTAGTTCACTCAAACCTGATAGCTTAGCTTGTAGCCTTCTGTTAAAGGAGCTCTGTTTGATGGGTCGTGTGCAGGATAGCTTCTTCTTGCTTGAAGAGATCGATAATTCAGGATGTATCATAACCATCGACTCTGATATTTATTGTATTCTTTTATTGGGTCTCTGCGAGCAAAGCCACTTGATAGAGGCCAAAAAGCTTGCAGAAATCATGCTTCAGAAATCTGTTGTGCTAAGAGCCCCCTACAATGAAGGAGTAATTGAAATTCTGAGAAATTCTGGTGAAGCGGACCTTGTTGAGAGACTAACTGAAACACAAAAGGGGTAATTCCTTGTTTGAGATTTTTCTTTTCTCCTGTTTTTATGATGCCCCCTAGATGGGCTTTAAGTTATTATATTTTACTCTCTTAGGACATCTTTTAAAAGGATCATTTGGTTCTTAATAATATAAAGCATTTGTTATGTACTAAATATATATTTGTTTCAATATTCTCTCTCTTTAAATTTATTACCTATGAGAGATAATATAATATAAATTTAAAAAATTTTCATGAATAAAACTTGAAGTTTATTATATTTCAAGTCAAAGTTAATCGTAATCATTTTTTTAATATTCTGATTAGGTATAATAAGGGATTGAATTATATATTTTACATAAAAAAAAAAAGACTAGTTGGTCTCGGTAATTTTTTAGCAATATTCTCATGCGGATTATCTGTTGTATTTACAAATTTAGATCATGCTCAAGTTTGTTAGGAGCGATCTACATTTTATGTTTTTATTAAAATAATATCAGAGTATTGTTAATCTATACATTCATAGGCTAAGGTTTAGATCTACGAATATGTTCAAGGGTTATAAATATTTCAAGTCAGGCTCATTTTCAAAGTTATAGAGGTCATCAGAACACAATATCATATGCAAATTCAATTTAGGCAAAAGTTCTGAAATAAATTCTCGGAAATATAATCTTATTTTTTGTTAAGTATATTTCAAAACTATAATCTAACTAAACGAATTAATATGCAATTTTGAAATTCTTGAGAAATTTAACAGCGATACTGCTTCATTTCATCAGCACACAAAAATTACAAGAAAATTCAAGCACTCTTTTAACAAATTCCATATAATGTTATACAAATATATTTGTGTGTGTGTGTATTTCATCATGCAAGATTACAACTCGCAAAAATTACATGAAAGATTACAAGAAATTTGATAAGAAATTTGAAAATTTTATTAAAAATGACATAGAACTATTTGTACGTCATACTCATCTACTTTCTCTGGTTTTAAATATAAAACATTAGTATCTACATACCACATATGGTAAAAATTAAAATTAGTTTTACTCATTAAATTAGAACCTAGACATAATTATTCTTTTTCACATTTACTCCTATTGATCAATGTTTACCTCTATAATAGTGCTTACTCTTTTTTTATTTTTTGTGGTTGAAGAATGTTAATGCAAGGTGAATTAAAATGTTGATGTCTATAATCTTAAATTTATTTTTTATGCAATGTGTCCTTTCAATTTTTGAAAGTGATGCAATTTGATCCCTATCATTAAAAAAGTTAATTTTAATAGTTAGTTGACCAGAAAATATAAAAAAAAAAGACATGTACAATTATAGAAAATGATAAAAAATTACATTAAAGGACCTAAAATTATGGTAAAGGACCCAAAAAATTATATAAAAAGACAAATCAAATTTCATTGGTCATTTTTTGTCATTTTATTATCAATTATATATATTTAAATTAAAGTGAAAGTAAGATATTAGTAAATTCTCATAAATGCAACAATTCTATAGTTTTTAGCCAATCTCAAAACTATGTATTCTAATTTAAAAATATTATATATATATATATATATAGAGAGAGAGAGAGAGAGAGAGAGATTGAATAGATTTTAATTCATACCAGACAACCAATGATAGGTTCCAAAATATTTCCTTGGGAAATTGTTTTTTGATTAATTATGGAGGGAGAAATTAGTAGGAAGTTTTTGTTTTACCAGATTTCAAAATTTTCTCACATGTTAATCAAAGGAAAAATACAAATGTACCTCGTGGTTAACACACTTTAAAATAAAATAATTAATTATTTTATCTTTATTATATGTGCAAAACAATTTTTAATATAAAATAAATTATTATTTAAATTTGAATTTATATAAAGGTTAAAAGGATATTTTTTTTCCTCAATTATTCGCTAAGGAACATTTGATATCCTAAATTTTCATGTTGTGTAATTTTTTCCTTAACCTTTTGAAAACAATGCACTAAGTACCATGTCACTAAAAAGTTAACTCTAACTATTGGTTAACTTTAAAATTGCAAGAAAGGATCTTAAAACTTATAGGAAATAACCCATAAATAATAATACACATAATTACCTTATAAAAAATTAATATAAATTAAGTTTCCTAAATTGTATATAAATTATAGGATATAAATATTATTTCTTACCCACATAAAAAGACTAAAATATGATTTTGGCCAATCATTATTTTGGGAACTCAATGGATATTAATTTTCTTATATGATACTTATTTGTAATTTTATGAGCCTTTTTTATAACTTTTTAAATCATTTTTTGTAATTTTTATCTCAATTAATAATCAAAATAAACTTTTTAGCAATACAGTGTTTAATACACCTTTTTGAAAAGTTGAAGAAAGAAATTGCATCACATGATACTATGTGCTCCTAAATAAATAGTTAAAGGCAAAAATGCCCTTGAACTGTTATATAAATTAATAAAATATTTTATTTTGAATACCAAAAAAAGTTATTTTTTAATATATATATATATATGTGTGTGTGTGTGTTTTAAATATTAAAATATTCGATGTATAGCACAGGGAATAAATCTAGTTTTACTCTCTATCTTCGGACATGTTGTTAAAAGGATTATTTTGTCCATAATAATATGAATTACTTGATGGGTATTAATTATTTATTAATATTATATTTATTTAAATTCATTAACTATAAGATAGAATATAATATAAATTTAAAATTTTTTATTTAAATAGGGATAAAATTTAAAATTTATTTTACTTAAGTTAATAATTTAATTATATTTCTTTGATTCCGATGAGGTAATTCGGGGGTATATATTTTACATAAAAAAATGGCAGGCCTCAGTGATTTCGGAGCAATATTCTCATGTGGATTATCTGTTCTATTTAATTTACAGATTTAGATTATGCTCAAATTCGATAGGAGCAAGACATTTTATTTTTTTATTAAAATACTATCACAGTATTATTAAGCTATATATTGCCATCATATATATTCCTAGACGAAGGTTCAGATCTTCGGATATGTTTAAGAGTTATAAATATTTCATTCAGATCATTTTCAACATTATAGAGAAGATCAGAACACAATTTCACACGCAAATTCAATTTAGGCGAAAGTTTTGAAATAAATTCTCAGGAATATAATTTATGTTTTTTTTAATCTATCTCAAAACTATTCTATAATCTTACTAAACAAATTAATATACAATTTTGAAATTCTTGAGAAATTTAACAATGATATTTGCTTCATTAGCATGCAATAATTACAAGAAAATTTAGACATCCTCTTAACAAATTTCATATAATGTGGTACACATATATATTTCCTCACGCATTCAAAAGTTCGACAATAAGGAAACTAATAACAAGTAAACTTAAATTTCAAGCAATCAATGAGGAAAATTACTAAAGGATTACAAGAAAATTCAGGAGAAATTTGAAAGAATTTTCAGAAAATTTTATTAAAAACTGACACAAAACTACTCATACTAACCCCATTGTCATATACTTTCTCTGGCCACAAATATAAGACATTAGCGCTTGCAAATCGTACATATTAAGAAAGTTAAAATTAGTTTTACTCATTAAATTTGAACAAAGACATAATTATTATTCTGTTTTCACATTTGCTACTTGTGATCAATGTTAACCTCTCTAAATAATGCTTACCCTTTTTTAGTTAAAAAATGTTAATGAAATAAAATGAAAGGTAAAAAAGTTTGGTTTGTAAATTATAACTTTAGGAATATTTAGGATCCTATACTTATTTTTTGTACAAAGTGAACTTTTAATTTTTAAAAATAATGCAATTTGACTCCTATCTTTAAAAAAATTTAAATTTTGATAGTTAGTTGATCAGAAAATGATAAAAAATATCATAAATAAATATAGAATATGACTGAGAAATTACAGTAAAAAACCCAAAATTATATTAAAGGATCTAAAAAATTATAGAAAAGACCAAGAAAGTTTTATTGATAATTTTTTCAAATTTTTGATGTCATTTTCTTATCAACTATATATATTTGAAGTGAAAGTACGGTATTATTGGATTCTCATAGATAAAACAACTCTATACTTTAGCCAATCTCAAAACTATATAATCTAATTAATATATATATATATATATATAGATTGAAAAATTCTTGGAGAAATTTAACCTACGTGGTTAACCAATCAAACATGTATACAAACATTTGACTACGCATGTGAAGCGTATATGCATTTTCAGAGAAGTTTCATTGGATGTTCCATTGAATTACTTGGGCATGTATGCATGTGAATGTTCCATTAAAGAATAGAACCTGGTCTTCATTCTGAAACCCTTATAAATAGATGCATGGCTATAATCTGAAAGCATAAAACACAAAAGAAGAAGATTGTGAGGCAATTAACATATATTGATTGAGAATATTATTGCTTGTCACTATTTGGGAGGATGCCTGATCAACCCAATTCTCAGAGTTCTTCAAAAAATGGTTCAACCTCAAAGAAGGATCTTAATCCTATTGGAAACAATGAGTCATGGTACTAAACGTCCACCTCCACCTTCTCCGAAGCCCAATAACTAATACATTTCCATCCTTGGGAATTCATTTCATCCCTCTTCCTTTAATCAATTAGATATTTTATAACAATTATATATGTTAGATAGAGAAGCACCCCAATATAAGATTGCATATAAAATTATTACTTTCTGCTTCCGAACAATTTGAATTAATATGTCTTCTCTATTATTTTTGTCAAGCATGTTGTTTGGATTTATTTTGATCGAAGTTATACTAAATACATATGAAGTTTAGTTTTTTGGTTATTTAATATAATCATTTTTGGACTAATACTTCCTTTAAATTTTGTGCAGACATGGGAATGCGAAACTGTTCAAATCATGCCCAAAAAAACAAAGTGTCAAATAAAATATGAAGCACTCATTGTGTAGCAAATTGCATCAAGTCTTTTATTTTTATTAGCTTGTTTGTATTTACTTCTATGTTACCTTTTGGCTACGTTTAGTTTAATTTCAATAAAAGAGCATGAAACTAGTCCATAATAAGCTTGTAAACAGTGTTCTCATATTGTGTAGATCTTAAATATTTTATTAGTATTTTTTATTCGTGTTTCAGAAGTAGAAATGCAAGTTATATTTTAATTGTTTGAATCAAATATAATTAAAAGATAAAACATACAAAATTTCGCTTAACTTTACGACAATTTTTCGGAACCTTAACTTTTTATTTTTTTATTTTTTTATTTTCCTATCGTTTTTTTTATTATTTCACTAACATAATTTGCTATATAATATTAAAAAAATAGCGGCATATGTGGAATCCAATATAAACTAATAATAGCATTATAAAAATTTTATCGATAGCAATATTAAATTCCATAATATATCGATAGCAACATATTGAATTCCATAATAATATCAACATTCCATGTTGTCTACCAAAAATTGAGTATTTCAAAATCAATATCGATAAAATGTATTGATACCAAATATAAAATTTGTATTGAATTCCATAATATAATCCAAATGAAAAATAATATTATTTTCTATTTTAGACTTCATGGCTTAAATGCAACCAACTTGAAAAACATGCATCTCGATCGAAATTATTATTTCAAAGATAGGCGCCATATTTGGGATCTCACGTGGATATAAGAAACCTTAAAAACTGAAATTTGAGTGAGAACATATAGTAATAACAGTAAATGTTAATATTGTCCCAAAAAAAATTAAATGCCGAAATATATGTTTTCCAAACTCTTCTCTTTCGGAAAATGTCACATAAGGAGCACTTAAATAAGTAAATGACATTAAAAGACCATAAATATGAGAAAAGTCAGAAAAAAAACCAAGGTTAAAAGAATAAAAATAAATGGATGAAAATGACTTGACTCAATCGATAACATATCTCAACTGCAAATCTCACAAGTTTAGTTGCAAATGTTAGAAGTTTAGTTGTAAATTGTGGAAGATTTGTTGCAAAAATAGATGATGATCAACTGCAAAAGTGTTGTAATTAATATATATATATATATATAACTCAATTGTAAATTTAAAAAATTTAATTTCAAATCTTGAAAGATTATTTACAATTTTTAGAAGTTTAATTGATTGATAACACAGAATCGTTGTAATTACTAATACTATAAGCTCATTTGTAAATATATGAAGATTAGTTGCGAATAAGTTGTAAATTGTAAGTTATTTTTAAATTGAGCATTTGGAATTTGCAACTAAACTTTCAAAATTCCTAATTGAACTTCAAAATTGTTGCAACTGAGTTTCATAAATTTACAAAACTTCCAATATTTACAACTTTTGAGCAATTAAAAAAAAGTTAAAGATGTTACAAAAAATATGGAAGAATGTTAATCCCAATTAAGGACCATGTTTTTTTTAATTTCATAATTTTAGAGTCATTAACTATAATTAATATATTTGTAAAGTTCTTAAATATCTAAAAAAATTTGTCCACGAAGGCTCGATTGATTGATGATATATTTTAACAATCTATTTTTTTAAACCACAAAATTAAATTTATTTGATTATCACACTGTTTAAAAAATTGCATTAGATAGGTAACACTGTACTACAAAACACATTTGACATTAGGTTCTTTATATTATTAGGTTGTCTAGATTGTTCAAATTTTCTATTGAATGTAAACACAATAAATGCATATTCAGAAGATTTTCATATGCTCTCATTTGAAATGGTTATGGTATATATATTTATAACTGTACCCAAAACAACTACACATAACATAGCAGAGCAAAAAAAAAAAAATGCGACAAAAATTATAGAAACCTTGAAATACAATTTGAAAGAAAATGGGAAACATTTTGAGAAATTTTCAACTGCTCTTCCAAAAAATTTCACAATTCTATGAAGAGCGAGCAAATAGTATATCATAATTCATAAGTGCATCAGTTTTCAAGTGTAATTATTAAATGGTATGATGGGTAATGGGCCGTGTCCCACACCCAATATTTTTTTTTAACACATATATTCGCACGTGTTTAGTTCCAGTGATTATTATGATGAGCAATCTGGAATCTAATTAAACAGTATAGATTTGCTAGTTTTATTTTATATTTATTAAGATAAAAGATACAAATTTTTAATAAATTTACTTTATTATCAATCTGGATAATACAGAATTAATTTGGATAGTCCAATTTAATATTATTTTTTAATTTTTTTTTTATAAATTAGTTATCCAAATGTACTCAGATCCAGTCCGTCCACACAGCTTGAATAGAAAGAGGGAGAGATTTTCACATGTTACTTTCTTGCAAATTGTGTCAATATTTACAATGAACATTATTATTCTACTAAAAAAAAGAAACAGAGAAAATGTGAGCATAATTTCATAAGCCGCGTTATGCAATTGACCACTTAGCTTCTTGAAATGGCTTTCCTCTAATTTGTAGCAAAAATTCTTTACAAATTGGAAAGCAATTAAAGAGAGACATGTTTTGATTTAACAATTGAAGAGGTTAGAAAATTTCATAAGCCCCGCACGTGACCTTTAACATCACCACGCTATTAGCTACGCGTAGCTTCTTGGAATAGCTTTCCCCTAATTTACAGTGAAAGTTCTTTAATTTTCCGGGGGGGGGGGGGGGGGAGTATAATCCTGCAATTTGTTGACAAACTCAAAACTAAAACTTTTAATCGATAAACTTAAACTTTAACAATATAATTTTATGCAGTCACAAAACTGTCAATGAAGCTTGAAGTTTTTTTTTTTTTGCAATATAAAAGGTGGTCATGCTGAAATATATTATCAGGTACGTATATTGGCATGTAAATGTGTGTGATATTTAATTGGGTAAGGTAATTGGCTTGAAGTTGTATAGAAATGTCAAATTCATTTCCTCAAGCCCAAAAAAAAAAAAACTGAATTAGAAAAAGAGAAAACTGCAATGCATTTTCTGAAATATTCATGTACCTAAAATTACATACAACTTCAATTGCATTTTCTGAAAACTCTTTAATGCATTTTCTTACTTGAATTACAAGGATATGTTCCTTTGATGAATAGAGTCCTCATAAATTGTACCCAAAACAAATACGATAAGCAACCTGATAAATAATTTACGAAAATGATAGAAAATTTCAATAGAATTTACAAGAAAATGGGAGAAATTTTCAGAAAACTTTCATTTCCTCTTCCATGAAAGATGGGCGAGTTTTTCGTAATTTGAAGAGGAAAGCCTGTGGCTTTCAGGCTGCCTATAAATAATTAAGTTGAAGGCTAAAGTATAACACAAGCAGATATTAGTGTTGTTGGTGCCTACTTGGTAGCTTTAGCAAGATGAGTTCAGGTAAAAAGAAGAATGTTATCGGAGACAGTCTTGGCTATGGTAGTACATATAATTCACAAAGTTCTTCAAAGAGTTCAACTTCAAAAGGAACAAAGAATGTTATCGGAGACAGTCTTGGCTATGGCAGTACGTATACTTCACAGAGTTCTTCAAAGAGTTCAACTTCAAAAGGAACAAAGAATGTTATCGGAGACAGTCTTGGCTATGGCAGTACATATAATTCACAGAGTTTTTCAAAGAGTTCAACTTCAAAAGAAACAAAGAATGTTATCGGAGATAGTATTGGCTATGGCAGTACATATAAATCCAAGTGAATGTGTTGAAAAGCTTGCTGGTAATCAAAATAAATAGTCTTTCCTTTTAGTTTTTACACTTGTATATATAGATTTTTGTTAGGTAATTAATATATATCTCTTTATGTATTAATTCTTGGTATTTATTTACATGCAGGTTCATGTAGAGTGGGACCTATGATGGACCTGGGAGGGAAGTTTAGTGAGCGGAAGATTCGATCATGTCTTTTTCCTTTTTTTTTTAATGTATTCGTGTCTTATTTTTGTATGATGTTTGATTTATTAATTGGAGACTACAATAATTTATATAACAATCTCTAGAAGTTTAGTTGCAGCGAGGTTAGTTTGAGAATCTTTTCCATTATATATATGTATATTTTGATGTTGCTTGTTTAATTTGTTTGTCCACATGGGCCATACTTCTTGTCCATAAATTGAAATAATGTTTTATTACAGTCTATATATGGATATATGCATTTTTATTTTTTATGTTGAGGTTCAATAATTTTATATAATCACACAATTTCTAGGCAAAATCACACAATCATTTATGCCCTCTTGAAAAAGCCCTACTCTTATGTGGGCCAAGAATTCCCTCCCCTCCTCTTCTTTAATGCGATCTTGAGAATCTGTTATAATATATTAAATGAGATTCAAATTTCTTGAGCAATTAATCTCACGATTGTCTTAGAAATAAAAATAAAATAAAACTCATACCATGACATTGTTTAGATAACCAAGTTGAAAATTCAGAAAACAAACTCATCTAGGACTTAGTTTTTTTTTATTTATAAGTATTCTCTTATTGAAAAAGTTCTGTTTGAAGCACTGCCATATACTAAATGCACGTATTTCTCCTAACAAGATTTAAACCTTAATTCGGCACATTGTAAAGGATTAATACATTTCACAAGACCCAATTTAGTTGGCTACAAAGTTAATGATGATGAGTATATTTATTTATTTTATGAAAAAAAAATTCTCAAATAATATTTTAAAAAATATTAAACTGGTTTAAATGAAATTTTGAATTTTAGTTGTTGGAAAGTATGTCAATAATACTGACGTAAATGGCGTGATAAGTCTGAAAAAAACAAAGAAAAGAGAAAATGTTAAATTGTTGGGGAAAAAAGAGAGAATGTTAAATAATTTAATAAACCGCGTAAATATTGGCAACCATATGTTAAATAATTTGTTGTGTGCATGTGAATATCTGTCTAATGATTTGGGGTCAAACCCCGGAACTATAATATTATTATATATGTATTTTCAAAAATTCTCTCTCTTTTTTTTCCGTTCTTTATAGTTTTGCCTAAGAAAAAATTAAATTTATAAAAACTCAAAATAAATAATGATAATTCATTTCATGGTGTCCACATTATAATATAATTAATTGATTAAAGAATTGGAACTAGTTCATAATATGTTTACCATTGCACGGGGTTGGGTACACTAAGAAATGTATACATAGGCTAACTAATTATTTAAATTATTTTTTAAGTAACAAAAGCTTCAATATAAAATTTACAAGAAATTTGAAAGCATTTTCAAATTAAACATCATCCATCAATATATAAAGGGTTAATACAAATTTTTGCTCTAAAATTTTTTTATGTCTGTAGATATCCTGAACTTAATTTTGAATCATTTTTTTAACTTTTAAAATTTGATACATTATTGTCTTGCCATTCAAGCATTGCTTGTTGACCATTATCTTTTAACTAGACATGTTTTGTTGATTTCTAAGACAATGTGACATTCAAGTGGACATGTGCAGATAGGTTTTCTTGGTGTTTAAGTGAGAAATGATCCAAAAAAATTGAATTCAGGACACTTGGTGTCCATAAGCAAATATTTCAATAACAAAAGTGACCTTATAAAATTCTTATTGGACATTCACTTGAATGCCACATGACCAAAAAAAAAAAGTTAACAACACTTATCCAGTTAATTAGATAGAGTTAACAAGCAGCGGCAAATTTTAAAAAGAGAATCACATTCAAGGATTTGGTAAGAAACTTAGTTACAAGCAAAAATCACACCCAATTTTAAAGGTTTAAGGGCAAAAATGACTCCAAAAAGCAAGTTTAACTATCATATATCCTGGGCCAAAAAGTCCAAGTGAAAAAATTGCGCTTTAACCCACATGTTAAAATTGCACGTGCATAATGGGACCATAAATTCCCCCAGCTAGTTCATCCTTTTTATAGCTTACATGTATAATTTTATTACAGAAATTCTATACAAAACAACTATATTTGAACCACAGTCTGTCACTAAATATAATTACATATGAAAATAATTTGAGCCTTAATTTATCACATTGTGAGAAATTAGTTATTTCACTAGATCCAACATTTTATTAATTAATAGATTTTTTCCTTCAAATTGTTTAGATAAGTCATCAATATATATTGATCATAATATAGAAATGCCAAACTCGTCCTCTGCTCACAAGTCAAACTTTGAATATAAAAAAGAGAAACTTCTAACGCATTTCAAAACAATTTCACATTCTCGTAACAGAGCAAAGAAAATTCGATGAGCAACCTTAATTATTTAATCATGAAAATTGCGGAAAACTTCAATACATGCAATTTTAAAGAAAATGGGAGACATTTTCAGAAAATTTTCATCTGTTTTTCCATGAAATATTAGTGTTTTTTCATCACAAAAGAGGGAGCTTATACTTCTATGTATATAAATAAGTTTTTTGAAGGCAAACACACACAAGAATAAGATTGTGAAGCAATTAATAGATATTTAGAATATTGTTGCATGTTACTTTTGGGAGGATGGTTGATCAATCTTCTGAGAGTTCTTTAAAAAATGGTTCAACCTCAAAGACGGATCCTAATTCTATTGGAAAAAATTTGGGGTATGGTTCTCCACCACCTCCTCCTCTATAGCCGAAGCCGAAGCCTATGCCTAATAAATGATTCATTTCCATCCTGGTAATTAGTTCCATCCCTCTTATCCTTTAATCAATTAGATATTTTATCACAATTATATATATATATATATATAAAATCTTTTTCATTTTTATTTCCTTTTATTTTTTAGTCAATTTCAATTTTTATCTAAAAAATTAAAATTAAAATTTTTAATTTTTAATCTAATTTTTATTTTATTTTATTAATAATAAAAAAATTCAAGTATTTGAGCTTGACCCAGATTTCTTTGAGTTTATTTGAGAGGTGCAAATAAGCCCATAGTAAAAAATAATAATAATTCTAAACTCTCAAATCTGACTTTAAGATTTCGCTTGGCTCAAATTATTAGCTTTACTCATAACAATGTCATCTTGTTTAAAAGCCAATGTTTCCAATGGACACACATCATAATGCTTCACTTAGCCTCCTACTAGTTGGGAATTCGGTATGGCTAATCCTCTTTACAAGATTGGCTTCTCGATGAAGAGAATTCATTTTAAAAAATTAGCTTATTGTTTGAAAAGCTCCTAGAACTTATAAACTTCATTTCTATTTTTTAGGCTCCCTGACATGGGACTTATAAATAAATTAATACTCACTTTTTTACACATATGTTTTCTCTTTAATTATGTTATAGAACTTCATGCTTTCAAAAATTTTGAATCAATATGCCTTCTTGGGTTTTTTTTTAATCAAGCTTTGTTTGGATTATTTTGATCATATCTTCTCCTTTTATAATTTTTAATACACTAAATACACATGCATTTTTTGTTTTTTATTTGGTTATTTAAGATATTCATTTTTGGAATAATCCTACCTTTAAATTTTATGCAGACATGGGAATGTGAAACTGTTCAAATCAGGCCAAAAGACAAAGTATCAACTAAGATATGAAGGACACACAAATTGTGTAGCAAATTGCATCAAGTCTTTTATTTTATTAGTTTGTTTGTATTCATATTTTATTGTTATATATTTACTTCTAAGTTAGTTTTTGGCCAAGTTTAGTTTAATTTCAATAACAGAGCATGTACCTAGTTAGTGATAAGCTTGTAAATGGTGTTCTCATATCGTGTAGAATTATATCTTTTAGTGTTTTGTTTTTATTCATGTTTTAGAAGTAGAAATGCAAGTTATATTTTAATTATTTGAATAAAATATAATTACAAGCTAACATATACAAAATTCCTCTAACTTTAAAACAGTTGTATATAACTCTATCACTTTTAAATGTTTAAAATTAATTTTACTAATCTTTTATTTTTATTTTGTACCACTGGCCCCGTTATTGTTATTTTGCCTTATAATATTAATAAAAGTACATATAGCAATACATTTGGCATTCTATGTAAGCTAATAACAATTCTATAACAATTTTATCATTGTGCTTTTTGTTATTATTAATTTATATCAAATGTTACATAAACTTTTATGTGCCTTTTTTTAATATAACATGTCAACTTTTGTTAGCAAGATGACTAAAAATTAATAGTATGGGAGTTTGTGATAAAAGAAATAAAAAAATTAGAAAAGTTAATTTTAAATTTTATAAAAGTGAGTAGTTTTGTTTAACTCTCATAAAATTTAAAAAAGTTTTATATATTTTAATTATAATTAAATAATATAGGTTATTATCAAGATAGGATGTACGTACATATACATATTGTTTTCCGTCAAATAAAAATTGAGTATTTCAACATCAATATCAATAAAATGTATCAATATCAAACGTAACATTCATATCGAATCTTTGCTCATAGTAAATGATGAATGGGATCATCGTAGAACAACAATAATGTAAACAGTGATTACATTCAATGCATGTGGAGGCCGCTTGGCTGACCTGTCTTTTGTTTGTAATTAGAAACAATGAAAAAGAAAAAGAAAAAGAAAATAATGGAGCTGTTTGAGTCAATTTGGGAGGATGAGGATTAGGAATGGGCCAAATGGGTAGTCTCATTGATTTGGATTATACGACAGAAACTTCAATGCTTTTGCTAGTATAGAATTTGTCTTTTATAAAAACCTTTTAACATTTATTCTAAAGCACCAATTATTAAAAATAGAGGTGACAGTATGTTTATAATATTTACCGTCATTGTAAGACTTTTAACATTTGGTTCAAATTCAGTCGTTGCAAAAAATATTTTTAACATCGGGTGTTATTTAATCTGATGTTAAAATTTTTAATTTTTTTTAAAAATAAAATATTTTACTTTCAATAGTGGGTGACATGACACCTACTATTAAAAGTTGAAAAAAAGAAGAAGAAATATCCCACTTTTGATAGCAAAGTTAACGTTTTATTGAGAATGATTGAATTTTTAATGAGATGAATATAATTTTAAAAAACTAATTTTATTGTTATTTGAATTAATTAGTTAACGTTTTAATTGTAATTTTATACTTTAATTTAGATATTTAACATTAAGGATCCATTATCTAAGG